TACCGGATCACAGTAAAATCAGTATCTTCCAAGGCCCCGACGGACTGAAACGCAAGCAACAGTACGATGTTTACCGGTGTAGAGACAATCATCAAAACTTGCCAAGACCAGTTTTATCTAAAATTTGCGAAAAGCTCGTCTTCTCGATGTCTGCAGTTGTATTTGATGGATCATTGAGTAAGGAAATGTTTTATTTTATATACAATAGTACAACATGAACAATTTTAAGCCACTATACCTTGCAGAAAGGTTACGCAGGAAAGCAGTGTGACAAGTGTGCTGATGGGTATTATGGAAGCCCCCTTGTTCCAGGGGGGAGCTGCAAACCATGTGTCTGTAACAACAATATCGATCCCTTCGCTAAAGGCAACTGCGATCACGTGACGGGTGAATGTAAAAAATGTTTGGCGAATACCGCTGGCTTTAGCTGTGAACGATGCGCACCTGGTTACCATGGCAGCGCCTTGGCTAGAAACTGCACAAGTAAGTTAGACAAAAAGTCGTTTTTCTGTTTTATAAATACCTTTATTCCAATCTGTGTGGTCACGGGTGGTCTAGTGGTTAAGCTACTGGCCTCTCACCGCTGTGGTCCGGGTTCGATTCCTGGACACGGACCACATGTGAGTTTGAGTTTGTTTGATCTGTTGTTCTCTCCTTTGCCACGAGGGTTTTTTCTCAGGGTACTCCGGTTTTCCTCCCTCAGYAAAAATCAACATGTGAGGAGTGTTGTGTGATAAAATACCTAATGTAGAGGTAGTTAGTGTGAGAGTACAGGGTCCGCAGTAATTGGCTCACGCTGTTGCGCTGTCCCTGCCCATATAACTAGGGGCAAAAGCTAATAAATTATCTAAACTCAYTGTTTCTGTTTCAGAGTGTATTTGTGACAAACAAGGAACCGCGCCAGGTTTTGAAGACACGTGTGACGATGAGACMGGACAGTGTAACTGTCTTCCTAACGTGGAAGGTTCACAGTGTSAACGATGTGTCGAGGGATACTGGGATCTAGGGAGCGGAACAGGGTGTAAACAATGTGACTGCTGTGAAGAAGGCTCGCAGAAAACAATGTGTGACCAGGTATAATATATAAACAATGCGCATCAATTTTAATACGCGTTTTTCCCATTCAATGTGAACAACCGCTGATTTAGTTGACAACAGTCTCTAATGCGCAGAGACCTGACCAAAAACAAAAGAAAGCACGAACAAATGTTATCATTACAATAGCACTTAGCCTTTATTCCCAGAAGGTTCAACTTTTTGCTCAGGCTTAGACCCTGTTTACATGAGATAGGGTGCCCCTACATGGTAGGGCTAACTCTGTTGTTTTCTTTTCCCTGGAGGATTTAAAACAAAGGATTTTGGCCCTACCACTAGAGGCAATCCATCTCATGTGAACAGGGTCTAAGCCTCAAATCAGAGAAGATTCAAATTTCTATAGAGCTATTGTAATGTCAGATTTTTTCGTGCTTTCTTTTGTCCTCTACGCAAGTGAGTCTGTTGTCTTCTGAACTGGAAAAAGGCTTATTCATAGATTATGTAATCAACCTACCTCTCCCTTGTACGTCTAACACGTTTAGTCTTTTTACAGAAGTCCCTGGTTAAGTATCCCGTTTAAGTTTATTGTGTATTTTTAGGTGGATGGTCAGTGCCATTGTAAAGCAGGCTATGGTGGACCGCGCTGTTGTGAGTGTGAAAATGGTTATTGGGGA